GAATTTTTTCGTTGCATTTTATATATATACTCCTATATCACATTAGGTGATATTCCACTTTAATAAATGAGATCCTTCTCGCTGTTTCTATAGAGTATTTTTATTTTATTACAGCATTTTTATGTTATTTTATATATGCCAAAATTAAATCATTTCGTTTGATCCCCAATTAACGTCATTAGAACTGTTTTGACAATATTTGAGGGTTTTGATATTGTTTTAATTTGTAAAAAAGTAAAACTATGATATATTTATCTCTCTTTTCTAAAACAAGGGGGTATAAAAATCATTTTGCTTGTAGCAAGCTCATAATTTATTTGACTTCACTTATTTGTCTTCACTGTACTATGTGTATATGGATATATATTATGAAAGACATATAAAAATATAAGCCATTTGCATTGTAGGCATCATAGATTAACCATTGTTTTCTTGGATAATGTTGCCTGAATTTACAAAAAGCTAAACAGTGGGTGGAGAATATCCGATCCGTTCTTTTGCTTCACTATAGATACGATTGATTTCTGTGTTTTCGGCTTCTAGACTAGCAATGTATCAATAGATCAAATAATCAGATATCGTTGTTTCAAAAAGCAAAGATACACGAGTAAATATGTTACTTCGTCCTTTTTTTAAAAACTTCCTATTGACTTTCCATACGGCGCTCAGCCAGCTTCTAAATAAAATGTACTAGCTAATATTATATATTTATTAAATAATGCATGGAAGTCATTATGCAAAGACTTGTGTCCGAGTAGTTAATTCACATAAGTAATATATATTATACAAACGATATGATTTATTTTAAATATATTCATTAAAAGAGTATAAACCATGAGGTTATGAGGCAAGGATTTTTTTCGGTCCTTTTCTCATTTAGCAAAATGAAGATTTAAAATTACTTCAATTGGTTTTCTAGAAATGAAGGTAATCGGCATGGCACCGTTTGTAACACATGGGCTGGCAAAGTGGATTATATATTAGAAACACCAAAAATTCTGTAATAAAGTGATTATTTTCAAACCTATAACATATTATGAATTTCACAAAATACAAAATAATTATTCGAAGTCCTACAGTATAGAGCACCCATGATAATTATTCTTGTAGGAGTATATATTTCTTGAAGCCCTAAGCTCCATTAGGAGAGAAGAACAGCAGTAAGTAAGTTAGTATATATTTCTTAATATTATATGTAAGCAGATATCACAGATAAATTAGATTCTGATAATCCCACGCTTATAGTGACGTTGAATGTCATCAGTATAATGCAACAGGTATGAAATTGATAATATATCATAGATAAGAATGTATGTTTCAGTATATGAACAACAGATTTGTGTGATGTCATAACAATGACGACATAAAAAGCTTGAGTAAAAAAGTAGATAGTAAAGCTACAATATAAATCGAAAGATTAGGGTTTGCCTATCTTTACATAATTTTATAACAGTGTATCTAGTTATTAACTCTGTAGGTTTTTTGCGTGGAATATGGTAAAAAGTAAAAAAATATTTGCTGATCTGTTACTGTAAGTAACCAGTTTTACTGGGTATATATGACTATCAACTATAAAATATATTGAACCACAAAATATATAAAATATATTTTAACGAGTACAAGGAGCTACTTAGATCTCAGCAAAAGAATACCACGTATAAGATTAAAAGATTGTATTGAAAATGATGCAGCAGAATTAAATGTACAAAAAATAAAATAAATAAATAAAAATGAATAAAGACAATTTCAGATATAATAACAAATGAATATAATTTATTTTTATTATTTTAAAATTATTGCAAAAAAAATTATGAATGTTTTGTAGTTAAAACTGCTAATTCGTAAAACAGTTATTTATAATTGGTAGGTTAGATCAATTACAAGCAAACCCGATAGCAGATACTTTTTCAACTCATGTATTACAAGTATTCGCACATTGACCGTCTTGATGATTTTTCATTAGTCTTAACGCGAATATATTTTACCAAACCTTATAATCTCTCCCCTAGTATTATTCATCCAGCTCAATATCCCATCGTTATACTTGATAATATGAAGTACAAGTTTCCACCATTCCTGGCTTTTTATTTGGACAACACCGTTCGCTTTTTTCCTGAAATCCGACTCTATAATCGTAGTCACAACAACCCATTGTATAGAGTTTACTCTTAGTCAGTAATTATCACCTAACAAGAACATCCTGCCTTCCTCCTGTCATTTATTTACAAATTTGGTTTATATATATTTGTTGTCTAAATACGAAACCTTTTGAATTCTAATACCTACTTTTCTTTTGATAATTGTAGCAGGTTTCAGTATTTGACCTTAACATGAGTTAGAATTTGGCCATTTTGCATTACTAAGAAGTGCTATTAGTGGGTTTAAGTCCCCTACAATGGCTTTTGATACTTTCCATCTACCGAAAGAAAAGGCTACATTTGTGTTTTCCAATTTCCAAAAAAAATATCTGAAAAATTATATATCATTCAATCTGTATTATAGTACCCAATACCAAAAACTAGGATTAAGTTAAAGGGGCGAGTTAATAAAAAGTACTGCGTATGTAACAAATTATTGCCATCATCGTGTACATTAGTGCATCGCATTTTCGTAACATGTAGTCTGACGACTCAGGTTCTTCAGCACAGTGTATCTGTATCTGTATCTGTACATACTGGCTTGATATAGTACGTACAGTACAATAGTCAGTATAGTATATTATCATATATTGTAATGTATAAAGTTCAATTTTTACAGCTTTCTATATTAAAACCCATAAGCTTTAAGTCGAAAGCTTACTTTTTAACTTGGCTTGAGACAAGACTTTGTATAACAAAACATGTCAACAAGGAAACCTCAATAACACTATATATGTCTACAGCTACTTAAGTAACTGTCGGTTGTTCAATTTTGAACTTCATATAAGTCCACTGCCAAGGCATTCCCTTGCTATTGTGAATTCAATAGAATTAAATGATCACATTCCATTGAATCTACTGAATTCATATGAATGAGCATAATCATCATGTTGTACTCTATAAAAAAGGTTATACGTATTTTATAGTATTTTATTTTTAGTAAGTATGCTTTAGAAATTATATGACACTTAAAACTGTTTAATAAAAGAGTTTATACTAAAATTAAACGGCAGACAAATGCATCAGTTATTCCTATATAGTAAATTGAAAAGAAAGTGATAAAAAAATAAAATAATATTATAAAAAAAAATGTATTTCTGGTTATCAAATATTTTAACAAAAACGATTTAAGCTTCTGAAGGCAAATATATTAAATTAGTCGTATCTCAACCGCAAAAAGTAAAAAAAATAAAAAAAAAAACTGAAAAACATAAGAAGCAGAATAAATTATATGAGAAGAAAATGAAAACAATTACAGAATTGATTGCAACACTTAAAATGTATAATACCCTGCAAACTTAATATTTCACATTAAAATTGCTTAAGTCCTTGCACAAGTACAACTAATGTAGTTGGTAAAGTTCGGTTCGGACCCTGTTGTTATTCGAGCATAAACTAACCGCAAAGCATTTTAAAACAAAAACACAACCTCACAACCAAAAGTAACCCCCAAAACGGGGCAATATTTCAAAAGGATTTCGGAGCATCAAATCCTGGCGTTACTAATGTCACAAAGATATGTACAAGCATACGTACGGTTTGTACGGCGTACAGTCGTAGGTACAGAGGTATATGTGGATGCATATGGATGTGCATATGTAGAAACTACAGTTTCATTTGTGCTCTAAAGTATCTGAAGCACAGAAAACACTTAAGAAGTGAAGAATGCAAGCAAACAGAGATATCCTTGCCGCTACACATATGCATACACAGTAGATATGTAGATATGTATGAAATCTTAAGGCGCTGCTTAAGGCAACCAACATGGCTTTGTAGTTGCCATTACAAGAGCTGTTATTTTTTTATTTCAAAAGTTTTTCATTTCCTTTTGCTTTAAGGAAAAAAATCTAAAAAAAATATCCTTCACATTTCGTTGCTTATTATTTTTAATTTTTATTTTTTTTTAAATTTTTTCTTTACTCTTTTGAATGATAAATTGTTTGGAGTTGAATATGGCGCAGAGTAATACAGTTCAGTTCAGCTTAGTACTGCAGATTTCCTGTGCGTTTGTCCATTTTTATTTTAGTTTTTTTTTTTTTTTTTGCCTTTTTCGGAAGATAAATCTGTGCAGATTTTGTAGCGTTTAGAAAAAACGTCTACTTTGCCATGTTTTCATATGTTGAGATCCTATTTGGAGCAGCGTCAGTACAGTCAGTGGTAGTACCAGTCTCCAGCTGACTTCTGTTTCTTTTGTGGGGAGCACGCACGCACACACACATACAACACATTTGCCACTTCTAGCTTCAGCTTCCTTAGACCAATGCATGCTTCACTCCTATAACATCCCTGCTTTCCCTACTCTACACAAAGGAGTAACAAATGCATGCGTATTTTGGATTTATCCGGATTTAACATAAGGATTTGCGTATTGCTCTTTCTACTATGCTTGCTTTGGCATCTACGAAGTTTAACTGTATTTTGTATTTTGGGGTTTACGGCTCTTGTATCTTGTAGTGTTTGTATCTCGCATCTCTAACCAAATGTGGCACTTTCGTATGATACGAGCAAATTTAATTTTATTAAGTAATCTTCAACTGACAGAAATTTGTGAGCTTCACGCAATTTCAACTTATTTCCTTGATTAACCATAATATAAGTTATAAACACTTTTCTATTATAAATGAAACACTTTTTTATGCATGTTAAGTTATTTAAAAAAAATAATACAAAAAACTTTTTTTTTTAAATTTTTTACGAAAACGAGGAAAAGTATTCTATTTATTTGCATTTAATTGAAAAATGAGCGCTTTTTGCGGTGAAAAATTGCGGTTTGAGCTTAAAGTGTAATTTTTCAACGCCAGCGGATTTATTTAAATTCTCACAAATCCGGCCTTCGGTTGCATTAAGTTCTGTGCAATTAAACAGTAAGCAACCTTTAATACGTAACAACGGCAAAGCGCACTCTAATAAAATATGGAGCAACTAAAGTCTAAAATTGCCGTTGTAACTGGTGCGAGTTCCGGGATCGGTGCATCCATTGTAAGAGAATTATTGTCGGCCGAATTAATTGTTGTTGGGCTGGCTCGACGTGTCGAACGTGTCAATGAATTGAAATTAAGCCTTTCGCAGGATCAACAGGCGCGACTGCACGCCATTAAATGTGATGTTTCCAATGCCATTGAAGTGGCTGAAGCATTTGCGGTAATTGCTGAGAATTATGGTCCAGTACATGTACTCATAAACAACGCTGGTTGCTTGCGCACGGGACAGTTGTGTACGATGCCCAGCGAGCAAGTGCAGGAGGTGTTGCTGACAAATGTTATGGGCGTGATCAATTGTACGCATCATGCTTATGCTGCAATGATATCGGACAACGGCGATGGTCATGTGATTTTAATTAACAGCATTTTGGGACACAAAGTACCAGCCATACCGGGCCATTTACCGGAGTTGAATGTATATCCTGCCACAAAATATGCGTTGACTGCAATCAACGAAATTTATCGGCAAGAGTTTACGGCCCTCGGTACCAGAATTAAAGTCACAGTAAGTAAATTATGTTAATCAAATGAACTTAAGAATTTAAAATATTATATAAATATAAATATACATACATTTTATTAGATGGAATTAATTTTTATTTAATATACATTATTAGAGTTTTATATGACACACAATTACGTGCATGTATATATTATAAACATAAATATGCAAATACATACAAATATTAATTTTTATATAATATATAAAAATACATATATATTAACAAATATATATTTATATATATCTACATATTCCATAATTTGTAAGTGTGTATATTTCATTATAAACATATTACATATTTTATATTACATATACTGGAGATATAACTTCAGCAACATTCTTAGCATTCTTTTTTTACTCTCAAAAGCTGTACCTTCTGCAATCTGGGTTTACAGAAGTTCATAGCTGCACGACTAACATATGTTGCATGTAGTTGACGGTGTTCGACACAGGTGTGATCAAAACTTGATATCTATGTCTTTTTGATTTTTCTAGGGCTTTCGGTTGTGTTGGACAATATTAGCTTTGCAAAAAACTTTTCAACATCTTATTTTCTAAGTCGACGGCAAAATTTATCTTTAGATATTTAACTGGAAGGTGACTTTTTATACTGCAGTTCCTCAGGGGTTAATTCTATAAATGATATCTTTATGATTTATGATCTGATATAATATCTAGTAAATGATGTTTTTACAGTTTGTAAATATGATAAATTGTATGGGTACCCAATAATAAGATGTTCAATTATATATTTGCAAATTGGTCAAAACAATATAAATATTATTATTTATTTATTGTCTCTATATAAAATAGGTTTAAAAAGCCATTTAGAAAATTCAACTAAAAATTTAAATTTCTGCTACATATATTAAATTTACAAATTAATTATGAATTTAATTTTTGTATAATTTTAGTCTCTTAGTCCAGGTATTGTCAATACTGAGCTAATATCAGAGGAACAAAAGAGTATATGTGGCGATATCATACTACAACCGGATGATATAGCAAAAGCTGTGATGTTTATTCTTTCGACTCCAAAACATGCACAAATTTACGAATTAACTATTAAACCTACAGGAGATATAATATAAAAATAATAAATAAAAATTTCTTGAGATTTTTTTAAACACACATATATTATTATTGTTTTTAAAATAAGATTTTACGAATAGTTGAACATTATAGAGTTAATATATTGTAAATGCTAGCATTAAGTAAAATAAATATTTAATAATATTAAGTAACGAGTATGACTTATAGTTAATTTATAACAATACTAATTAAGGCAAATATGAATTTAATTAACATTAAAAATTAACATTTAATTATATTTTTTTAAAACAAATTATATTAAAATAAAATTTACATGACATTACATGATGACTACTTCGTCATTTAAATACATCCTTTCAATGATACTGAGACTGATGGGATAATTCAGTCTCTTTGAAACGATGAGATAGCTATAGTCGGTAACTAACTTTAAAAGGTACTATTCGATACTTTTATGAAATTTTCGAAAGTTTTGTATTGTATAAAGTTTTTTTGTACCTCTCATATTTATAAATAATATTAATTGATCTGTTTATCTCATTCATTAATAATCTAGGAAAGTATACTAATTTTTTTTTCTGTTGGACTTATGTGCTCATTTGATAAAGCCTGAGAAGATAATATCTAAGTTATGCGTAAGAGAGATCAATTTATTTATTAGCATTTTGTTTTAATATCTATTATTTAATTTCCTTCTGAAAGTAATAATCCACAGGTTAGCGATGGAAAGATTATTAGATAACATGGGATTAACTATTCTTTCATATGCATCAAACCTGTTGTTTTCGATGGAGTTGAAGCACTGTTTTGAAAAAATGGAATGCTAGATAGAAACGCTATGATTTTTGATATGATTCCATATTGCATAAAGAACCTTTTTGAAGTATTTTTCTTTTTAAAAGAAATCGTCAGAGTAATGTTTATTTACAGTTTTAAAATCATTAAACGATCCCCACAAACAAATGATTTATGAGTTAAAATGGATACGAATTTTCGTAATAATCATACAATATGTCAACGATAATAAATGAAAGGCGTTAATGGAAGAATTGGCACCTGATGATAATTATTTTACAGCTATACAATAAATTTCAGATTAAAAAACATGATATTATTTCCATTATATTAAAGTGCAGACCGATAAAAATATTTCTAGAAAGAAGCAGATGAATTCTTTACTGCAGTTCCTTAAGACGATATGGAAGAGAAAGAAAGCGTCGTGAAATAAATATATCAAACAGCTTTGAAAGTATTATCCGAACAATGAAATTAAAAGAAATAATAACATATATTTTAAGGTCAAAATAAATCCGCGTTGGCATTTGAAAATCTCAACTAGCGGATTCTTTCGAAGATCAAGAAACACGCACTTAATCTTAAGCAAAATAAAAGTACGATACCTCTAAAGAATACGGAAAAGATGACTTCAACGGGTCAAGTTAATGAAATTCAATTAGCAGCATTTGCTTAAACTAAAGCTTTTTTTGGTTAAGTATGAACTTATAACTGATAATTCTACAACCCATTAAAACTATTGTCAATTTCCTGTAGGAAATAAAATATGTATAAATCAGCGTTCTACAACATCCAGAAGAATTGTAGCTGTAGTGGGCAATAGCAACGCACGAAACATACCCAAAATAGACTCGCCACACCATTGATATTCGCAGTAGACAAATCCATAGTGTTAAATGAAAACTAAAAGGTTTTTTAGTATAATAGCAGGGTACGATAAATAATTTCCATTAACACCTCTCTGGCAGACTTCTGAACATGAATAGCGCGTTTGAACTGAATGCAGATTTTATTCATTTTTTTATTGTATCAAGGTTTTATAAAAATATAAACAAACAGCATCTGAACTAAAAAATATAGATCTCTACAGCAATTCTATTATATTACATATGAAGTCAATACCTTATATATGATTATTATATATATAACCAACGGCAAAACTGTCCTCTTCAATGTTTTATGCAATTCTCTTGGTTTCTGGATGCTGAAGCTTTTTCATTTGTACTAGTTGCAAGTAGTGATATATGTGATTTGTAGGTTCTATTAATTTCTGCTTTGACTGATGATATCTTGAGGACCCTGTGTATGTTAGTACTTTTAATATACCATGTAAGGTATTTACATCTCAAGTAGTTTGTTTCGAAATTTTTATATTATATTTTTCGAATCTGAGTAATGAAAGTGGACTACCTTATCATTATATGGGTTCCTAAAGTTGTTTGTAGGCGAGCCTATATTATATTGCGATAGGAATGAATATCGGTCTATTAGGCTATATGCATTTCGATATTGCAAGTCTACACTTATTAAGTATTAACTGCGTTATATTATATTGTAACTTGTAAGTAAATGAAGATTTGCCATTTCACAGAACTTCCAAGTAGAATCATTTATTAAAGGCGTACTAATTTCACTGAAAATGATGTCTAATGATTTTTTAAGAACTTTCTCCGTAGTTACAATTTTTTTGAATATAATTTATTCATATAATTGAACTTAAATTATTCATTTTTCGGAAAAGTGTGAATTATAAATAATCCTTAAATCAACATTTTTTAGTTATTCTGTGTAGATTAAGTCATGCCGTTGCATGAGATCGTTCTTAACCGATATGAAATTTCAAACATTTCACATTTTTTCCATATACTTGTTTCGATGTGTATTAAAAGACGTCTCTAGTAAAATCGTACGTGCATTTGTCGAGAAAATCAAAACGTAATCAAACATTTTGCAATTCCATGTGAAATGTTTTCCATTTGCGGAATTGTTTAGTATCTCGTCGCCATTGTAAGTTGTACCAAGTATCGCACATGGCTGTCATTTAAGTCACTCGTATAAGCATCGATGGTACGTGATGAAACTATGCTGTCAGCAAATGAAACGAATATGAACCAACCAGGAAAATATCAGAAAAAACAGGAAAAATAATAAAAAACGGAGGCAGCTAAGTGAATATTGCTGCAGGAACACATTCCTGGTAGTGGAAAAATTATCAGTTGTACATGGATGTGTACTCCATGCAAACGGGTTGAATACTCGAAAGGATTTTCAGTTGTTCTCTGCTCCTCCAGCAGCATTCATAATTGCATTTTAATAATGAAACAACGATAAATGCAGAAAAACTTGCCAGTTTCCTTTCTTGAATAGAAAGTTTTTCATTTATATTATCACTTAACTAAATCGAATTGATACGTGCGAAGTGAAAACGCTTATACCAAATTAAGATGAAAGTCTTTCATTAATTCTTGAAATTTTTTATGTTAATTTAAAATAAAACAAGTAAAGATGTTAGCTTTGGCATTGCCGAAATTCTGTGTACCCTTTACACAGAATTTTGATTCTACATTGAGGTCTTATTACTACAATAATATGTTTGAAATGTATTATATATATGATATATAATATATTCTAATGAAATATATAATACTCAAAAGTGCCGTTAAAATTTTTTTATTCACAATTATATTTCATCACCTAATAATGAAATTGAAATTAACAAAACTCTAAGTTCAAACATAAAAGTAAAGTACGGCTTTGGTTCAGTTGGTTAATAAACACTGACTCTGAGCTTCAAATTTGAAGGGTACGAGTTCTAGCCTAAGTACCTTCAACCTCAAAAAATTATTTACGAATAATTTAATATAAGAAATAATTCCAAGATCACTGTTGATGGGTATTTGGTAATACTCTAAACTTTGCTGCTGCAATTTCACTATCGTTCAATATTCTATTATCTAATAATAGAATAAGATGAATTTGAAATATCACTTGCCTTCATTAGAAAATGGAAACTCTTGGAACAATCACAAATGAATCATCGATTTATATTCGAACTAAATCTAAGATTTATATACATCAAAATTTAAGATTTGTACACATCTAAATCTAAGTTGATCAATTCCATTTTATTACACAGTTTAAATTCTGTAAGTATAGCTTTAGTTTCAAATTTGAACTACATTTATCATTGATAAAAAACCGATAGTTTAAACTAATAGTTTATATGTCAGCTTTTTTCTAAATCTGAACCTATACTAATAACATTTTCTATGTAATCTTATTTGAGTTCAAATGGGCTTTGCTTACAAGTTCATCATTACAGCCTAACCTAACCTTATATGAATATAAGTACATTCTACATAAAACTTCGTTTGAATATTTTTATTGAGAACAATTATATCCGATTGTTTAGTTCATGTGGCAGCTAAAGAATATAATAGTCCGATTTCAATCAATCTGACATATGAACAAGGTCCACTATCGAAAAGTATGTGTGCAAAGATTCATTCGAATAGCTCAAATACTAAGAGATCAATTTGAACAGAAACGGACAGACAGACAGATGATATTTTATGCGATCAATGACTTTTCCTTCAATGTGTTACAAAACTCTTGACAAACCTAATATATACTTTTAAAAGGTACGAAGGGTTTTATCATATAATGGAAAAGGTAAAAAGTGTATTAATGAAAATGTTAATGAGTTTTTAAGTTTTAAACTGAGAATTTGAAGCATATTCATAAGACGTGGAGAAATTCCGTATAGATATTTGCAGTCACAATAAATAAAATTATTAATTTTACTTCATTTTTAATTTTTTATGAGTCATAAAATTATATATGGTAGGCATAAATACATATATATACAACAAATTCCATCTCCCATTGACATAAGTGATGTCATAAGTAAGTAGTGTGTGCATTTTTCGTTCTTATGTTCCTATTCAAGTCTCTATTTCTCTATAAATAAAAACCTTAATAAAAACCTAAATGAAAGTTACTTTATTTGGCCAAAATTTAATTGCCGCAATATCCTTGAACTTGGATCTCAAGCACAAAAAGGCTCATAACACACAAAACTAGAAGCATTCATTATCCTTGGCAACTTGGCAAACAATAAAAGATGCTTTCGTTGTTAGTATTTGTACATTATTTTTATCTTTTCACTGCATACGGGCTTTTCATGAGATTTATGATTACTTTTCTTCCTTTCCGCACACTTGAGTGTGAAGGTCACAATGTCCTGCATGGTTGGTGCATACAGAATTGACGCCATGTTATGCAATTATATTGCTATTAAATATTCACAGTCTTGGTGTGCCTTTTGGAAATGTTGTGTGAGATGCTGAACCACTTTGTGTTTGCATTATTCAGGGAAGA